TTTAAACTGTAATTTTTTTTAAATCTTTCGACAACACAGAGCTTATATATATTATATGAAAAAAAAAAATTAGCCTTGTATGACCTGATGATGAAGTGTAATTTTGACCTCGAAACTAGTAATCTATGTAATTAATTTTACAATAAAGGATTATGGGAGTTGAAGACTTTATCATGATTAGTTTGTCTTTAAAGGTGAATTTCTAAGAAAAAAATCCTACAAACTTTTTTTTTGGGAAAGTTATTTTACATTTTCCGGAATCTTTTGTCGACGCGCTTTACTACCACCCTGTATAGCTACACATTTATTGTTTATACTGAGAAGAATCGCTCCACGGAGTTATTAAAAATAATTATGCCTAATTTTAAATCTGGACTCGGTTTTCTAAACCCGGGCGAAAATCAATGTAGTCGGATCGTGCCTTAAGGTACGGCTCGCTTTCGGTGGTCGCCCTGTAGCTGAGGCCGCGTTTGGCACATGGTGCAGATGAGGAGAGGCCCCCAGGGCTGCCAGACAGGCAGAAGGACGGTCCAGCGCGATCATCCGACTGGCCTATATCCGCACTCCGCAACAGCAACAGCACGTTATTCAGGGCCTGCTTAGATGATTAGAGACGCGGACGAGCAGGTCGCGTAATCTCGTTGTCGAGTCGCAGGATACTATGACGGTTAAAAATCAGTATGTAACAGAGATCTGGAACGATTCAAAGTAGCGTTACGCATAAAAGTGCATCAAAACTAGTTTCTATCTATCCAAAATTACTTTCTATTATCAAAAATATCGTTTCTGTAGATCAAAGTTTGTTAATATCACTTGACTGGTCAGTCAATAATCATAATAGGCCGAGATTAACTTAGATGTCTGATAAATATAACATTGCTATTGGCAATAACTAATCACTGTTGCCAATCGTATAAGTAAAAAGTAGTAAGCGAGCGGCACATCTCAAATATTTCTAGAGGTTCTTTCTGCATAATAACTTGACATAATTTTAACGTCAGTTTTATTAACTCTAGATAAGTAGAAGTTCGAAGAAAATGGTTTCAATGAAATATTATTATGATGATGGAAAATACTTGACAATGTTTAAGTTAAAAAGTGATATTAAGTACCTGGAAGTTCTAAAAAGGGAAAAATATAAAAAAATTTCTGTTTTCGCATTAATTGTCATATTTCCTTATAGGTCACAGCGCTTATTTTCTTTTGTTTTTGAGATTTAATTATGTAGGACTTATTTTTTACAAACACAGTTTTTGAGAATGTTTAAAACATCAATATTTAGCTTTGGACTTCGCAGGGACATAATTTTATAAGTAAATTTTTTCTTTATATAGGACGAGTTCTTAACAAAATTCACAGACTATTTATTTGATTACAAAAAAAAAACGAATTTCAGATTCGTATTCAAGAAACACTTTTAAAAACTGACTTCCATTTAAAGTTACATCCTGTATAAGGCAATTTTAGATGAGGTTACTATTCTATCTATTTATTGACTGCATTAGGAAAATTAACTCATATACAAGATGATCTAGTCAAAAGGTCATTAATTTCAAAGGAAGATAAAGAATAATGAGTAGAATACGAATACGCGATTAAAAATTTTTTAAACGCATATTTACGCTGTAAAAAAAATATTTTCAAATCATTATTTAAACAAACTCCTTTGTCGGGCCGCTCCTGATCGCTAACCCACAAAGGTTTATCGAGAGTGCATTTTGACTTACGTATTATTCGGTCATTAACCTAACATTTAATGTGTTTTTAATCCGTAGTGAACGACAACGAATAAACAAGCTTTTTACCTAGAGATGTGAATGAGTAAGATATGTTTTAACATTTTAAATATTAACAAGTATTATTTATTTGTTAATAAAAACAAATCTAAAAGGATAATAATTGTTTTCGAATGTTAGGTTATTACAATTTAGTATTTTTAATATTGTTAATGTTTTCACTATGTTTTATAATTGAATATGATTATAATATGTTCAATTAATTATTCGGTTTGTAGTACGTATACTTATTGTGTGAGTTACTGTTTTTCAAAGAGTAGTATGGTACCTACCTATTAAAAATGACAGCACGGCTAAAAAACACTCACTCAACTGTCCATAGCACCTTGTTAATAATTGGGATCCTTTGCACTTTGATTTTGAAACCAATTGCAAAATTCAAGGGGAAATCCGCTGTTTCGCTTCAATGTTCGAACGGTTTATAGTTCGTTGGCACGGGGTAATTTGCTTATTTTTTAAAAGTTTAAGAGTAAATTTTTTTCTTTTTCGATTTTCTGTGTTTATTAGGCCTTTTGAATATGTGGTTAAAATTAATGAACTTATGACTGAGTCGCCCTGTACAATTCATACGAACGAATAAAACGCCTATAGTAACAAGACATTGCTGATATTGCTTGCTTGGAGTTTGTTGCTTGTTCTTTGATCTTTGCTCAAGACCGGTTGATTCATTGATTCACGATCATATCCACAAGATGTAATACAATAATTATTATCGAAATATAAACCTAAGCAATTATGTCGGAAGGTCCATATCGATTTGAGAACATTCAATTGAACAAAATATGTCTAATAATTTGTCAGTATGAAAAGACTAGAAAATATACTAATTTAATATTAATAATACTAGTAGAACATACCAAATTCGAAATTTCCATACTAAATGAGACTCAAAATATAAAATGTAGTATGTTGGCAACACTACAGGAATGGCCAGAAATTCGGAATAAAATTCATATCATTTGAATGAGTTAATTTTTTTTAAAACGCCGAAACACGTTAACTGATTTTGATTTTTTCCCATCTTTCGCTTATATAATAATTAATTTTTCTTCAACCCCCTAACCCCCAGCTACTCCTACTTTTTTCAAATGGAAACAGAAGGCATTAAGGGGCTCGTTGAAATGCTTATAGAAAACCCAATCCAGCCATATCAAATAAACAAGTTTTATTTTTTCAATAGCAAGTTTTTTTTTTCATTTAGAAATTGAAACAACTAGATAATTGACAAAAATAAACTCAAAATCGCAAATGCTGAAAATGTCCTCCATTCACTATTTGGCATTCTCCAAAATGAAGTAAAAGCTGTTCACAGCATTCTGAATGACTTCAGCTGGTAAATTATGCATCTCCGCCCTAATCTTGTTCTTTAAATTCTCAATATTATCCGGTCTGTCCTGGTAGACTCTTTCTTTCAAATATCCCCAAAGAAAATAATCCAGGGGTGTTAAGTCGGGGGATCTTGGCGGCCATTCAACTGTACCCCGTCTACCAATCCAGCGATTTGGAAACATTTCATCTAAGTATCTTCGAACATCAATACCAAAATGTGGGGGAGCGCCATCTTGTTGGAACCAAATTCTTTCATTCGGTATATCTGGATCAATTTCATGAGGGAAAATCACAGCTAGAGCAGGTATCAGGTCAAATGTTAGGAAATCCAGGTAGCGTGCGGCAGTAAGATTTTCTTCAAAAAAGAATGGGCCCAAGATTCTGTTGTTGATGATACCTGCCCATACATTAACTTTTTGTGGATGCTGCGTATGCGATTCGCATGTCCAGTGTGGATTTTCCTGGGACCAAAAGCGATAGTTGTGCCTGTTAACCACTCCATTTAAATAAAACGTAGCTTCATCCGAAAAAAGTACGTCTCGTTGAAAACCATTATTGTCGTCACACCGTCTCATCATTTCCTCACAAAATTGTAATCGCCTATCATAATCGTCTTCCAAAAGCTCTTGGACAAGACATACCTTATAGGGGTGGTATTTCTCTTGTTTCAGAAACATTCGAATTGCAGTTCGAGAAGCATCGTGATTGCGGGCCAATGAAACAGTTGAAGTATGAGGATTTTCAACAAGTTCTAATGCAATGTCTAATTTCTTTTCTTCATTCAAAGCACGTGCCCGTCCAGTTTTGGGCAAAGTCTGTACTGTACCGTGTTCCTCAAATTTGTGAAATATTTTACTAACTGTCCCTTGCGAGATTTGGTTTTCGGGATATTTCGCATTAAATAAATCGCGCACTTCAGCCTGACTTCTTATTTTGTCTCCACATCCAAGCAATATCAAGATTTCGATGCGTTGCCTTTCCGACAATACCATTGCAATTCAGTAAATAACTTGATTTTGACACAATAGTAACGTTTCGAACTCCAATTTACAACTAAAGCGAAAAATTAACCAGAAAGCCTGGCAAGTAAGTGGTGCCAAAAAAACGCAACATAAAAAATATATATTTTTTGCGTTAGCAGTGATAGGTACAGTTTCAAATTCTTTATTTTATTCTGTGCAAATTCATGGAGGATAACACTGAAGATAATTAAATTTTATTTCACTTGTTAAGTAGGTGTTTTATACAACCCTAAAAACCTTGCTATTGAAAAAATAAAACTTGTTTATTATATAATCGAAAGATGGGAAAAAATCAAAATCAGTTAACGTGTTTCGGCGTTTTAAAAAAAAATTAACTCATTCAAATGATATGAAATTTATTCCGTACTTCTGGCCATCCCTGTATATACTGTGTTTTCTACCATGAAAACTACCTTATCCGGCAATATTTTATGAACCGCGTTAAGAGCATCGAGTAATCAACGTCGATACGCCTCCGGGAAACGGACCGCCGCAACCGCACCACAGTCCGCTGCATGCAATTTCAAGAACAAAAACCCGAGGCCAGCACCGTCGTCGTCGTCGTGCACGCATCATCTCGAGGCGAACGTAGCCGGGGCCCCCCCGCCGCGCGCCCTTCCCCCCTCGCCCCGGCACTCCAACTGATAACGCCTTATCGCCGACTACGTCGAAGAAGTCGCCATGCCGTGCCACAAAGACAAATCCACGGAGCGAAAGCGAGATACGTGACGGTCTAGGCTGGCTGTGCAAATACGAGAACAAACGAACGGCACTGAACGCGGCCACAGCCGCCCCTGGCGCCCGAAGACCTCTTGGGCGCAGGGTAGAGATTAGAAGAGAAAAATGGACTCACCTAGGGGGCTGCGGCGTAATCCAGACGCAGGAGGAAGAACAACGAGCACTTAATTCACCATCCAGTCTCCAGTCCTCGAGTGTGCGGTGTCGGCAGGCACGGCGGCGAGTGGTCGAAGCCTCCCACCCGTGGCGGCGAGGTTTCCAACGCTGTCTTGCGTCACTACGTCGCCCGATCCAGGCGGCTTGGGAATCGGTTCGCGGAAGACCTGGATGTGGTGCTGGCAGCGCTGGCAATGGCAATCGATACCATCCGTGTCGCTCGTACTGGGCTTGTAACGTGGTGATAACAATACTTGGAGTACGTACTGACCTTATTGTCGGTGTTACATAAGCGCGCGATATGTCTAGGTAGAGTTACAGGCGTTTGGACTGGCGTACCTCCTCCAATTCGACGTTTTTTTTTTTCGTATTCGTAGCCGCCATGCAACATTTGCTATCGATCCACTAAGCAGCCATAACTTGTTTCGAATTTGAAAGAAATGCGTTAATGTCGTAAATGTAAAGATACATCGCAATATCCTTAAAACGATAAAAAGGATGTCGCTAGGAACTGAATGCCCGAACCACCCAGGACAAAATTCCTGTGACCCACAACAATAAACTGAAACATCTTTAACTGTAAATTTTGCATCGAATTTCAAATTCAAATAGACACAATAGTAATTTTCGGTTTCGTTGACTGTTAAAAATAAATTTCTTTTAATGAAACAAAAAAAAAAAGATTTATGGTGAGTGTAACACTAACTGCGCTCTTAATCTTTGTCCTATGAAGGGCATATCAATTCTAATCTATAGATTTACAAAATCCTGACCTAGTGCTAATAGTCTAAGTGACCTTGAAAGTTTCTAACTTTTTACTTTCTGGGGCTAAGACCAAACCACATTAAATACGCATGAGCAAAAGTCTGACCTTCTGACGCGTCACTGACAATTTCTTGAACCTAAAATCTAAATATCACTGAATTAAATTAAGACCAGCTTTATATAAACAAGTTAACAATGTTAGACTTGAGACTGAGACTTAAGATTAAAGTAAAGTTAGGAGTAAGCTAGGACTAACATCACTATGGATTCTACTCACAATACGAATTCCTATAACATTTTCTTGAAAACTCGATAATAATAGAATTACATAACCTCAGTAATTTTTTTACCTAATATTTTGTTATACCTAACCTCTTTTCGATTAAGTCTATTTTTCCAAATTTGGTTCACTTATTACTAGCAACAAACTGAATATATGAACCTATTTATTTAAATACGGCCCTGGAAATTTTATTACATTTTTTGTAAGCCTTCATGAGCCCCAATACTGTACTGCCTCAGCTCGAACCAGATTCAGCTGTTTTGTTTCGAAAAATTCATCTTCAACGTGTTCGTTCCAAATTTATTTAATTTTTTTATTTATATTTCTATCTTTATTGAATTATCGTATACTCTAAGTGTCGTGAAGACCCTGTGAAGTTGAATTTTGAGCACTCGAGAATTTCACAGGATCTATAACGACACTTAGAGTGTACGATAATTCAATAAACATAGAAATCTAAACAAAAAAATTTAGAAAAATTAGTAACGAATTTATTGAATATGAATTTTTCGAGAGAAAACGTCTGAATCTGATTCAGGCTGAAGCAGTACAGCACTGGGGGTCATGAAGGCTTGTAAAAAATGTAATACAATTTTCAGGGACGTATTTAAAAAAGTTGATTAAGGGCCTAGAAAGACGAAACGTTATGGCGGTTTTCCACTACACGTACAGTTGAGTTTATGTCCTGTTTGTGTTTTCTAGAACAAAACAAAAACAAAACTGAAACAAACCCAAAACTCTTGTTTCCATCAAGATGGCTACATTTTGTTCGAGTTTTATTTTTGTTTTCAGTCCTTTTCCACTGGTTGTCGCGAGGAAGTCAGAACACATTTTGCCAATAACCAGCCAACATGTTTAGAGAAGATTTTTTTATTCTTAGTTATGGCTGGTTTATACTGAAGTTCTTGGAAAAAAAGTGTGTCTACAGAGTGTCCCACCTCGAACTCCATCGATGGATATCTGGGAAACCGCTCTAAGGATTTTTTTGAAATTGTGATGGTGTGATACGGATCGTGGGGCCCACCAAGTTCAAATATTTTCAAGGTCATCGTACTTCCGATTACACCGGAAGTCGATACTAACTTTCTTATTTTAAATGGAACCCCCCGTATATTATTGCATTTTTGGAAACATCATCCATTTTTAAGTTGAAAACATATCATCACAAACACTCCATATTTAGGATTGACCGTTTCCGAGATATTTCGATTTTTAAACAAAAATTGACAGATGCAGACTGTCAGCAAAATTTAGTTTTCCCGGTTTATTTTTTTGTGCAAATTGGACATTTTGTAGAGAAAGACCTACTTTATCGAAGTTGACATGAAAATTTTCCAGTTTTTATACAGTTCCGAATATGTGGAAAACTCAAAATTTTTAAATTGAAACCCCTATTTTTTGCAATAATATACAGAAATAAGAAAGTTAGTATCAACTTCCGGTATAACCGGAAATACGATGACCTTGAAAATATTTTAGCTTGATAGGCTCCACAGTCCGTATCACGCCATCACAATTTCAAAAAAAATCCTTCGAGCGGTTTCCCAGATATCCATCGATGGAGTTCGTGGTATATGTACGGTTAACGTGTTTACTTGGTTAGTTTGTATCCTAACCAAGTAAACACTTTAACCGTATATATTTTTTAATAGCTATAATTCATTAATGATTAAAATATTGTTTTTGGGAAGAAGAAAACGGCAACATAGATATTGGGTTGGATCACTTAAATAGAAAACACAACACGACCGTTTCCACTAAACAGACTTGAGTTTCAAAACACGTCGAAACCTTTTGATGTGACCGCTTTCGAGCGGGACCCGAAAAACAAAACTCCAACTGTCACGCCAGTCTTCAAAAAGTTTGCGAAAAGTTACAGTTTTGTTTTATTCGACACAAGTTTGTGTTTTGTTTTTGTTTTGTCTGTTTAGTGGAAAACCGCCTTTTAATATAAAAATTTATTATACCATTCGATAGAGAGAAAAAAGTTGCCACGAAAAAGTGTTCTTCTCTTTTCAATATCACCTCGAACAAAGCTAAAATGAAACAAAAGTTTTTTTTTAATGTTTCGAAAACTATTGCTCCCCTGATTGCGCAACTTTGCCCCTATTTCCGAGATCCCTGTAGTGAGAACGAATTTGTAACAGCCTGTATGCTAATTGGGAAACAGTTATGTCAAATTATTAATGAAAAAAATATTTACTTTTCAGATTATATAACTTTGTTAACATTAACTTCTTAAAACAATGTCATAGAAACTCGTTCTTCTATTTTTATAAGTAGAATCACCGTCATAGTTTTCAGATATCCTGTATTTTTTTATGTTATTTGTTATTTAAGCATCCATAACGATTTAAACATAAAACATTCATAAAGGTTTAGGAGTAAGTCATGTGAAGATGTGACAGAATCGTATTTCTCATTATTTCTCGTCATCGTTACTACAGACATAATCTTCATTTCTCAGTGAGATATGCAGTACCTTTAAGTACCTAATTCAAAATTTTTCGAATGTACGTATACTTGCTCAGTGGCGAAGCCAGAAAAAAAATTGGGGGAGCCAAAATGTAATATGTAAAAAAATTTTTTGCGAGTGCAAGCGAGTAAATATCATTTGAATATACAAAATCGACTTGGCAGCTGTGAATGAAATAGTATTTTTGCGAAAATTGTTTAGAAATATTGCTAAAATTGACAAAAAGAGTATGACAATTTTGAGACTCGCGAGAAATTCATTTGACGTTTATATAAAATCATAGAAAACAGACCAAATAACCAAAATCCTACCATCGATTTCATATGCTACGCTATCACATTTACTATCAGAAGTCTCTAAGACTCTAAGATTGACATTTTCCTTACTGAGAAAAAAAAGTGCTATCTTAGCAACAAAAGTATTCACTTTTAATCCTAGGAGCTAAAGGAGCTAAAGTTGACACTTTTAATCTTTAGATTAAGTGTTAATTCAAAACACAAATTAATAATTAAATAGACAATTTCGGTTGGAGAAAAAATATCATGTATTTTATTAAAAGTGTATTTTTTTGTCTCGCCACAAAAGTAACACTTTTTATCCTAATACGAGTACTATTAAGTGACAAATTGCTTCTTTTTGAGGCACGCTCTCTTAGATCTGAAGGCATTGATCGCACTGCCCTCTAATCGCGGACGGCCTAACTTGTACCAAATCTGTGGACGATGTCAACAATTAGACCTACATTATTATTATCATTTATTTTATAAGCCATATCTGATGGTTATTGCGGAGTGTTTGAAGTTTGAATGAAGTGGAAAACGAAATGGATTTTGCAAGTAATGAAGAATATTTGCCCCTTGAGGTGTGGAAAGTCGCAGAAAGGAGATGAAGAATAATCAAGTTACTCTATACGAAGACAATAGTTGATGTTTTTTTCACTTTATTTTAATTATTGGCATTCACGGGGCTTGCAGAAGAGAAGAATTATTAAATATGACAAGATATAGAAGACAAAGGTTGGACATGAAAATTCCTGATAGCAAGCCACGTACTCAGAGGACATTTGTCATTTCATTATATCGAAAATACTCTGTTCTGCTACCTGACCTTAGTAAAAGTTATAGCTTTTCTTTTATACATGTAACGAATCCATTTTTCTCAAAAACCAAGCACCATTTAAAAATAGTTAGGGGCCTTTTTGCTGTAGAATAAACCATAAAATGTAAAAAAAATATTCATTATGAAAAATTTCCAGTTGCATAGAAATTATATTAAAAATAGGGGTTATCAGAGCCCCCTACAGAATAATCTGCAAAATCGATAGAGCTTTTCATTCATACACTTCATACTAAATATTAAACAAATGGTTTTCATAGTTTAAGAAAAAGTAAATAAAAACCAAAAAAAAAATATTTTTTCAAAAGCTTGTCTCTAAAAGGAAGCCTTTGGAAGAAAAAGTGTATGCCTCAAAATGACATTATTTTGACAAGATTTATCGATGGCTAAAATCCTAACCATAAAGTGAATCACATGCCAATGGAAAATGTACCAATGAAGTGGTTGGTATTAATAAAATAAGAAACACTCCAAGATAAACCATCGATATTTGAGGATTGCCGCTTTCAAATGACTA